GATTCGTACAAAGCCTAATAAAGTTAAAGCATGACTGCCGAATTATAAAAAAAAAAAAAAAAAAAAAAAAAAAAAAAAGAAATTGAGAAAAATCGTGATAAATTAGAAAACCCCTCTTCATTAAATGAATATTATAACAACTTTCTTTCGGTCCTCATTGGTTTTTTTAATGGATTAATCGAATCTATTGAAAAGAGAAAACATGAAGTAAGAAAAAAAAAAAGTAGACAATGTGGAAAAAAGGAACCTAAATTTAATACAATTGCTATAAAAAAGATTACTTCATTTCTTGCATTTATTGTTTTAACAATAGCATTTCGTCAATAGAAAATATAGCTTACCTATACTATGGCTTCTTTATGTAAAAAGCCAAAATTAATATCTTCTCTGCAAGCCATATTACATACAGTATATATTATATCTCATACCTGGAAACACAAAACAAGACTGGAAAAAGAGCGTATAAACAAATCCAATTCTTTGACAAGATTAATCAAAGGTCTGAATATATGGAACATTGCTGTTATTGATAACATTGACTTCAAGGATATTGTTTTTAAATATGGAAATATTTATGATGTTATGTGACAATCTGCACATGCCACTCTAAGAATGATGTTTCAATTTGAACTTCCATTCAATCTCTCATCTCTTGCTTAAGTAAATCCAGAGTCTCAACAAAATTTATTTGGTCAATCTGTGTTTACATCCAATTGGGATGAAAATTTTGATAAAATAATAAACCAATTAGTATATAGGTATAACAAAAATTTTGAAATTGAAGAAATAAATACCAAAATACTTTCTATTGTTGAACCAAGTGGAAATAATATAATTATGTTATTTCCACTTAGTCTAGGTTATGTATGACGACAAGATCATATATGCGTCATCATTCGAGTGACGACAGGATCATATATGCATCGTCATTCGAGTGATGACGGGATCATATATGCGTCATCATTTGAGTGACGACAGGATCGTATATGCGTCGTCATTCGAGTGACAATTGGTTCATGAGTTCGTTGTCACACTTGGGTACCCACAACCTATAAAAAAATATGATGACGAATTTGTAGTCATGTCGTCACACTTGGATACCCCACAATCTATAAAAAATATGACGACAATTTTACATTTACATCGTCACACTTCTGCTATCAGATATGCTATATATACGTTATTTGGGTATGCTACATTCACGCTATCAGTTATGCTATCATATGCTATCGGGTATGCTATATTTCTGCTATCGGGTATACTATATTCACGTTATCTGAACTGCTATCAAATATGCGTCGCTTAATTGCTATCGGGTATGCTATCGAGTATGCTATCAAATATGATATCGCCTTATTTTGTCCTTAATGGCAAGATATATGTTTATCTACCTACCCGACTGTAAGTTATACCCCACAATTGATATTCCAGAATGCAGTTAAAATGAATCTGCTCGCGTTCTAATAAAAAATCTGTCCTGGTCTCGTCCTAGTAAAAAAAATATTAACTGGGACGGATTTGATATAGAAGAAAGATTTAAAATCTATTTTTATCTTGTTCTTTTATATTTATTATATATTTGTCCTAGTTGTTCTAGTAAAAAGTAATAATCTAGGAAAATAAAATTTATTTACTCATGATACATTTATACTATACATAATGATATATACGGTTATATACATGCTATATACATATAATATATATTATGTATACCTATAGATAAAAAAGAAAAAAAAGTAAGAAGATCGAAATTTTACTAGAACAACTAGGACAACTGGGATGGGTATTCTAAAACTCTTTTGTTTAGCTTGAAATTACTGACAGGTATATTTTTTTCCATCCTACTTTACGTCCCAGAAAAAAATTCGTCCTAGTTGGAACTTCGAAAAATATAGGTATCCTGCATACCACACACATATATATTAATTTTCCTTTACCCCAGATGATGCAGAGCATCGAGGAAGCTGAGCTTTGAGTCTTATTGTAGAACAATGGCACTTACGTGCCTGACTCATCTCTGATTCCCCGCCTTGTGCCATCTTCTTCAGCTTTTTCTGCTGATACTGATCTTGTCTTCGATATTTATCTGCATGAGTATCACAATAGTCATAACCAAAATAGGTCAACTTATCACATTCTTTACAAGATACGCATGGTGGAGAATCCCAGTGAACTTTACACCCTTTAGGCCTACAAACTTTTCTAGTCCTAAGAATATAGAAGCAATGATAAAATGCTATATTTATATGATTATGATATAATAATTATTATCTACTGATAACTATTCTTTAGAATTAATTTTCATTTTGAACTTTTTTTTCCAGAACAATATACTAGCAGTAAAATATACTTATTATGAGTATCCAAAGTGAACACAATACACCCACCCTACCATTGACAGATGCAATCAATATGCCTGCATCTCTTGTACTGATCCCTGAAGACTTGGAGCAATGTGGAGATACTTTTGTGACAGGGAGCTTCGAGCCAGAGATAGAGGAAGAAAATAGTGGGGCGTTGTACTACTAGAGGTTTAAAGCTTTTTCTCAATCAAAGATTTCAGAAAATGAAAAGGCAGAACAATTACTTCAATGCTTATTTTACTATTTTGGCAGTGATTATTTAGGAATCCCAACTCGCAACAATATAGTTGCAGAAAATGACGAGGGTTTGTCTGCAATTCTCAATAATGCTTTAGCTAAACGAGAGGAAATCCCTTTTATGGCTGTCGATTTTGAGGGTTCATCAGAAAAAAAAGGTGAAAAAAATTATTACGTTTTACGTCTTTACGGCTCTCTCATCAATGGTCAAAAAGCGGTAGTTACTCTTACAGGAATTCAGATTTTCTTTAATACACTTGTATCCGAGAATGAATCTGTAAACAACTTTAAAATAAAAATAGATGAAATTCTTTGTAATACTGTAAACACTTATAAAATAGAACATATTAAAGCATTTCCATTACAAGGTTATCATATAGAAAAAAAGTCATATTTACGAATTTTTACACTCAGTAGTGGTAATAGGAAGAATGCTCTCCAAGCTATCCAAGATAACGATTTCGAAACCGCTTCAGACGATATGTTTTCATTCCATTGTAAAATAGCTAGAGAAAATAGAATTGCAATTTCTGGTTGGTCTATGATAAGTAAGTATAGATACAAAAAACATTCCCATTATACACACGATTTTCAGGTTTCTATAAACGATTTTCAGCCAGTAGAAGATCTAAAAATGATAAGTGACTGTTTTCCAATTTCAGCACTCATGAGAGATCATACGCTTATCCTTATATGGGATATAGAGACACAATCATGAGAGTTGGGCGAATTTGCAGAAATACACAATGAAGAAAGTATCATATTCATGATTTGTATAACCTTGCACTGGAAAGACGATTCAAGACCGTTAAAACAAATCTGTCTTGTCAATCTTGAAACTGCACCAGACTTACGATAGATAACAGTTGTATGTGGGAACCAGACAAATTTACTGAAAGCATTCACATTATGCTAGAAAGCCTTCATCCCTGATATTCAACTCAGATTTAGTGATTCTGAATATGATTGGCAATTTATTATAGAAAGAGCTTATAGACTTAATATTCTCGAATGGATGTGGCAACAGATGACGGAAAGATTTAAATCGAAGGAAGAAATTCTTAAATAGAATTATTACGGGAAAATAGAGGCAAAATCTAAAAATAGTTTTCAAATTAAAAAAGGTGCTATTGATAATAGTGAGGAAGAAAATGATAGAGTACAGCCAGTTATAATCAAGATTAGTCCAGAGGATAATTATATTTCTACTTTTCTTAAAGTACCAGAATGTGTACCAATTGGCATATGTGCATGTTTTAAAAAACTTTACCCTCATGCAGAGGTTGATAGGAAAAGTTCACTTGCATTTTACTTAAAAATATGTGGATTGGCTAGTAAAGCGGATATGCTATATAATAAAATATAAAAAATTTACTCAGAAGCAAAAGAGAGTATTTTCTCAAATAAATCACATTCTACTATAGAAAAATTGCGTAAAGTAGTATATTATTGTATTATAGATGCATTGCGTTGCCAAGAGCTTATAGTTAAGCGGAATGTAATTAATGACTATAGGGAGATTGCTTCTATAGCCTATGTATCTTTGTTTGATTCACATTATCAGGCAAATGGAATGAAGGTACAAAATCTTCTGGGGGCTTATACCACTAAACGTAATATACTATTTAGTACGAGATCGTGTAAAAATATAGGAAAAGGTAAGTATCCTGTGCATACGTATTTCTACCTAAAAAAGGAATTGAGATAAAGAGGCCTGTTACAGGATTGGATTTTGCATCTTTATATCCCTGTTTTATTATAGCTTACAATCTTTTTCCAGAAAAAATGATATTAACTTATAGAGATGCCGATATTATACAAAAAAATAGAAATAACTTGCATAAGATTAAGTTTCTATTTAATAACTGTATTGTCCATGCTTGGTGTGTAAGACATGATAATCAATTTGAGAAGAAGGGTTTATATCCTATTGTATTAGAGGATCTATTTAATAAGAGAGTAAATCTTAAAGCATAGCTTGCCTCGTTAGGAAAGAAAAAAGAACATCTTGGGAAAATGATAAGTTCAGTTAAAGAAAAAGGTAAAAAAATTACAGAAAGCTTAAATTCAGAATATTCATCTATATGTTTCGATTATAATTGTTTAAATTCCAAGCAGTTTGCTTTAAAAGTATATATGAATACTTTTTACGGAGAAGCAGGAAACAGCAAATCTCCATTCTTTCTTCGTGAATTAGCTGGAGGAATCACTTCTGCAGGTCAGTATAATATTGATCTTGTTGCTAAGTTTGTGTCTGGGAAAAGGTTTCGGAATAAAATACGGATATACTGATTCTTTATATCTTACTTGTCCAGATAAATATTATGAAAAATATGATAGAGCTTTTAATGAAGGAAACCTTTCCAAGGAGGAATACTGGTTTGAAATGGTTAAAATTACTATGAATGTGATGAAAAAATTGTATGATGAAGTAAATGCTTATCTAAGGATAAAAAATGGCACATCTTATCTTAAAATGGCATATGAAGAGGTATTATTTTCTGTTTGTTTTACTGGCAAGAAAAAATACCACATGAAGGGGTTGTCAATTTCAAACCAGATAATCTCTTTAAAAAAGAGATTGATAGCATAAAGCAAGGCCAGTTACAGCTTTTCGAATTTATCAGAGAAAAAATTATGTGGAAAGCTATGAATATAAATAATACATGATCAATTTATAAAATTGTTGAAGATACTCTCAGAGAGGCTAAAGATAAGCAATGGGACTTTAGTTAATTTATTGGGATGGCTATGTGGAAGCCTAAAAAAAAAAATCTTTATGTCCAGCATTTTATAGCTCGAATGAAAGAAAAAAATTAAATATTCAGATCCTAGTAAGCGCTTTAGTTATGTAGTAGTAAAAGGTGAGTGTTATCACGATAAAAAAAGTCGATTAATACCGTATAGAGTCAGTGATTATATGGGATATCTGGAGTTTGCAAAAGAGCAGAATATGAAAATAAATATCAACTACTATTTAGAAAGTGTGTTGGGATTATGTGCAGAGTTTATTAATGAAGATGAGAAATATCAACTACCATCTTCACATAAAATTATACAACTCAAATATTCAGATGAGAAAGAAAAACAGATTGACGCATATTCACAAAAAGAAGCTAAAAAATGGCTTATAAAATATATTAAAGCCTTGAATTGATTAGCTGTGCTATTCTATATTGTTAAGTATTCTTGGTTAGAATTGCCAGACTCCACTAAGATACTTATGTGTCTTTAGACACTAGCTCTGCTATATATTATTAATTATATTTTTTCATATATAAAAAATACCAAAGTTTAAATGGATGTTCACCTAACCCACGTATCCCATAGCCGATCACTTTTTTTACCTATACTCAATCCACGCCTCAATACCATGAACCATATAACTGTAATAATCAACAAGATAAGAATAATATATGCCAATAGAGGTGACATCAAAGTTCTCACCATAACAGGAACCGCTTCTACTCCTCCTATCGAAATCTGAGAATTCAATTCAATTGAAGAGGAATTGAGATTTTCTGGCTGTACAAGTATATTGTTGTTAGTTTTACTAATATCGATTTCAGATGTGCTAGCATTTTCACTTTGTGAAACACTTATCTTGGGAATAATCTTGGTATCATTTTTTTTGCGTAGAAAATATTGACTGAGATTTTTTCTTAGCGAGGTATAGCCTTCTTGAATCTCTGATTCATCACCTAATGGTCTGTTTTGCAATACTGTAAATATATCATCAGACTTGATTATGAAACTTTGTTCCCGCTCTGCGTATTTTTTTCATCATTACCACCAAGTACAGGGTTTGATATAGCCTCCGAGTTCAGACACTCAAGTTCACTGACTTTTGAAGCTAACTTATGTTCTACTTCAGCAATTTTGGATTTGAGAGACGTGATCTTAGTTTTTTTTTTCGATGAGTCGCTTTGAATCGAAATCACATCTTTCTGGGCTGAAGATAACTTACCTTCCAATATCTTGATCATAGACTCGAGTGATTTGATTTTCTTAGATTTTGTAACATTCTCAGCTTTGGATTCAGCAATAAAAACATCCTTTTGTGCGTTATGAGAAATAAGATTAGTATTTTCATTTTGTAGTTGCTTATATTTATTAATGACCTGCAAAGTGTGGGTGCATAATTTTTGAATCTCAGTATTATTTCGTAATGAATCTTGATTCCACCTCTTTCTTTCCCGATCAAAAGCCTTTATTTGTTTTATGTATTTATCCTGTAATTTTTCACTAAGCTTGTTAATTTCAGCTTTGGATTTGATAGCATCGTGTATTTTTTTTTCTAGCTCTTCTTCGCATATACTACTAAGGCGAGGACCTTTAATATTTTGAATTGTATATACATTAGCCATATTAGCTTGCTTCGCTAAATAATAGATAATACAATTATTAATAAAACTAATTTCGTTAATAATTTCTATTATTATCTAACGATGTTTAATGTTAGATATCCTAATCTATTAAAAAAATATATTAGATATTA